TGTATCACCATTAAAGGTCACATGATATAAAATTTTATTGCATTTTTGAGCATAACTTACAATTTCTGAGTTTTGATGATTTTTCCCAAAATTGGCCACGAGGCGCAGCAAGTTGCGGGACTAGGTGACTTGCACCATACCATCCAAATTTTTGTGTAATGGCAAATAAGTTTTAGAACCAGGGTAAAAAATATAGTACAGGGATAGAAATTTATAAAAACAAATTTCCAGAAGGGCCGTTAATGAGCCTTTCAACAAGGCAAGTTTTGGCGTATTGTTTACTCAACCACTTTTGAAGGGTAGTTAATCGGAGAGATCATCACAGCCAGCTAGAATACATGTATTGACATACATTGTTTGCAACATTAATTAACGTATGCTTTTTTTCTTTCCGTCCTCTTACTTCCACAATTGCCTTGTACTAACTCAACAACAAAATCTAATTTTATCTACTCTCATAAATTATATTTTGTCTTAAAGGAACATTAAATATAATGTTTATAGCATTAGATAACTAGTTCTTCAATAGAAGAAACTGGCAAGTAAAATGCCAAATATTTTAACTGTATTATAAATAATTCCTTCGCTATTATTGCGTTGCCCTTATACTATAACTATAACTTTACTATATTTTTTTTATTTATCTTTTCATATTTTTTTTTTATAATATGCCATGCTATTTTTAGAAGAAACAAAAACTTTCAGCAATACTATTCAGGAATTCTTGTATAATTTTTTTTGTGTTATAGGCTTTGTATCACTTTTAAAATAGCAGCCTAATTAATTATTAGATATTTTAAAGCTTAATTTTTAATATATTATCAAAAGAAATTGCATTAGATAGTTTTTTTCTTCTGTTTAAATGTGTTATTGGATAATGAGTATCATTGTTTTTATTGTGTTTTCTGATAAATTCAAGAAAAACTTCTGTGTATGATTACTGATTGTATTCATTGGACTCCTTATTGAAGCTGAGACATCATGTCACTATCTCAAAATCAAAATTCTGCCTTTTTCCTTATATTTTTTATAAAATTTTGGGATGAGGCGTTTGGGTATGAAATTCTGATTGGCTAATTTGAATTTCGCAAATATTATGATTAAGCCAATCAATCCCAATACACATATCCCAACATAGAATCCCCAAGGCAGCAAAAAAATACTGGCAAAAAATATCTTTCTAATCAACAACAATTCAACGGATGTATATATTTTATTGATGACAATTAAATAAATTAGCAAAAAATTTATTCTTTATAAAATTATTCTAATGAAAATTTTTTTTTAAAAAAATTCTTGAAAAAAAAAATTATGATAAATTAAATTATAATTATATCTATCTATATTATTAATATATATCGTTTAATAACAAACATTTCTCTCTCCATATGGATGAATGAATGTACTTTGACTGCACCGAAGATATTGCATATTTATATATATATATATATATTTAATTATATATATATGATATGATAAATATTTTTCGTATCTTTCAATGCTCCCTTCATTAATTAAAAAATTTTTCTTCTACAATAGCACCTAATTTTTCACTATTTGTCCAATTCATTTTCATATCCTCCAACAAATTATCTTTTTCAACAAATATTTTACTAACCCATTCTTTTAATTGTTCATCATCATTTGGCAAATCCTCAATTGCATATCTTTTCATATGTATGTGAAATGACCATGGTGGCGAGATTTTTGAGTATGCATGAACTTGAATAAGATTTGGTGGAAATGATAATCCTTGTTTCAAATGACGATATGCAATCGTAAAATCTAAAAAATCAAAATCAAAATCAAAATAATAGAATACAATATTAAACGTTGCACATTCCAATCAATAATTTATAATAATATTAAAGAGAAGATTTTACCATAAACATATTTTACATGAGTATTTCTTAACTGACGAATACATGCAACAAATCCTTTTGTACGAGGTACTAAAAGGTGTCGTAGGATAGGTATACCTTTTTCTTTAGCAAATGCTTGTCCCTGTTTATATAAAATTCAAGGAACCATTATATGAGTGGGTGATTAAATATGGATTAAATGATTTAAAATGATTAGTTTATTTACATCTAATAATTTCTTTTGCGTCATTCTTGTTCCTTCAACAAAGTTAACAATCCAAATTGGTGCTGCGTATTCTTTAATTCTTTTAAATATTTTTCTTAATTGGCTTTGATCCTTAAAAAATTAAAGATGATAATTAATTATTTCTTCAATATAAATAAAAAAAAGACCAAATGTAATTACTTGAGTCCAATTTCTTTTTATGAAAATCATTCCCATAAGCTAATGAATAAATTATGTTAGATAAAAATAGATTAAATACTTGTTATAAATTATTAAATAACAACAACAATAATAATAACAAATTCAATCTTACCCACATACCATATCCAAAGAATGGAATCTAAACATAATATGAAGAATGAAAATTGCAAGTTATATACATATAATGTATATTAACATAATATAATATATTCAATAAGATTCTAATAATATAAGATCTTACATATTTTAAGGAATCTTTAGCAAAATATTTGACATGAGGTAACATATTTTTACGTATAGCTACTGAATGTAACATATAAAAATCTGTAAATGATCGATGATTACTTATTACCACTGCACTCTCATTTGATGGTATTTTATCACCAGAAAATGTAATCTTTCCTTTGTGTTGACGCTTTTTGGAAAATGAAAAATAAAAAAAGAATTAAGAAAGAATCAAAAGGATCTAATCAATCAATTAATTTAAAAATTTTTTTTTTCATTTACCTCAAATATCCACTGATTAATCAAAATTTAAAAGCAGATTATTTCGCTTCTTTTTTATTATATAATGATATTATAATTTAATAATCTTTCACTTACTTGCATGACCCACCACATACTATGTGCACTTCTAGAATTGATTTTCCATACTAATCTTTTAGAAAATGGAATTATCAACATTGATAAAAGCTGAACTACATTAATACCAATCGCCAAACTACGTAAATAATAAATATTGTTGATTCTAATTAATAATAATTTTAGAGAGTTCAACAACTTTATTATGCTGACAAGATAACAAACCTAAAAAGCGCGGTTCCATAAAGCCATATGCGCACTGCTCGAGGAAAATATTTTAACATTATTAATTTTTTATTTTTAAACAAATTTTTCCTATATCAGCATTTAATCCATTTAATCCGCAGTAAATGAATTTGAGATTTTTTTTTTTGGGGAAATGTTTTAGAACGGGAATGGCTATATATGGTAATAAAATTTCAATGATACAAATAATAATACGTAAATAGAAATGCATCAACTTTGTTCAACTTCCTTGATTAATTAATAATTTCCTCTCTACTCATAGTTAATAGCTTTAATAATTAATATCGATTCCATTGTGAGATATCAATGAGTACATATATGACGTGATCAATGGTTGAATTTTTAATAATTCGTGTAACAAAACCAAAATGACAATGAAATTTCAGGGATCAAAATTATTTAAAAAGCACAATTGTACCACCACCAATTAAATGCACAAAATTAAAATTGAAGGCACAAAATCAATAATAATTCTTATCCAAGAAAATTTCCTTGGTTGATCAAGTGTACCTACATTAATTCAATCTAGATGGGGAAGTAACTTGCACAATTGATAGTTCAGGTGTAAGGCTCCAAATGACTCAATGAAATTTTGAACTAAATTGAATCAAATCTGAATTGTATTTTGATTTGTTTCATACTGATTTGAATCTATAGCAATCCATTATTGTTCATTAGTTATATTAATTATTTAATGAATTTATTAATTGTGTTATTGTTATTTAGATAATGGTGGTTGAAACTACCTTATTTAGTGGGCCAAAATTAATTGGCCTAAGCTAATTTTAATAACAATAATAACTGAAGTTTGGTGAATTATTTTTAAGTTTTTTAAAATAAAGTAGATTGATTTAGATACTTATTGTATGCTCAATTTAATGCATAAATTGTTAGTGAAAATTTTGTTGATATGAGGTCAGGCAAAAGTAAATGAGATTAATATTATGAAAAAATTCAACCTCAGGAATAGCTTTACTGATACAAAAATAAAAATGAATTACAAGATACATGAAAAATATACAAATTATTGTGAAATGGGAGGAAAAAGTTGGGCTTTGGTGCACCTTTTGCCAATGCCTGCACAAGCAAACCCTTGTTCATAATTACAATATTTCTTAAGGTCAATAATAATTGTATCAGAGGCTTCACACACTACAACATGTCTGAAGCCAATGGAATTTCTGCTTGATCCAGATGGAATTATCTCAGTATTCCACTTGTATCATTTATGAGAACATTTAAATACATTCTCTTGCCAGCCACCTGGATCCCAACTACACCAAACTGACTACAAATAGGTCTGCACACAGAATTTATATAGCTAACCCCATCCAACAATTCTCTCCATAATTTTGTGTCACTGCAGACAATATGCAAACTTTCTGTGAATAAAAATTCCACTAATGCCATAACATTGTTTCTATGTGCAATACTTGCCAAGCTTTGATGCTCAGTCATGCTTAAACAAATACAGCCATTTGGTAGATCCCCATAGTGGCTCAAAGTAAAGGTATGATCACATCTGTGATATAAGTCCCTTCACTTTGCATACTACAGGTCATGCTTGTCTCAAAAGCCTGATTATTCCATACTTCTCTAAATTTATGAATATCAATTAAGTTAACCTGAAAAAAAATACACATATAAAGGATTATTAATTATTTACAGTATACTAAGTATTCATTCAGCTATTTTTTCCAAGTTAGATTCATTATCCTTCCATAACCCATTATGCATGATATTTCCAGAATGTATATTTTATTAAAATTATTTACAAACTCAATGCACTTAAAAGAAACTAAGTCTGGGAGTTTGCATCTCATGTTCTCTCGAGGCTCCTAGATAATATGTAATTGTTTGTAAATAAACTTGTTCACGGGATATTTTTCAATGTAATTGAAATTCATTAATATATACTGTGTATTATCTAAGGTTTCCAGCCGAAACTCTCTTTATTAGTAGCCGAAATTGCCAAAACACTTTGGCAAAAATTACTTTTTTATAAGCCCAAACTATTTTTTGTTATTAGCCGGAATTGGGCGAAATTTTACTTAAGTTAAAATAAGTTGATTGATATAGTTTTTTAATGTTCATGTTTATAAAAATGCTGAGAAGCCCAAATTGCCCAAACTAGTTTTGGGCTTTGAGAAAACAGTTTGGATCGGAAACCTTAGTATTATCATTACCAAAAAAATACATTTCTGTTTCTGGCCTAATTTTTCTACCACAAATGAGTCATCACTGAGAACTGTACTTGCAATAAGATCCCTCCAGGTAAGTTTAGAAACATCTACTAAACCACTATTTCACTCCTAAGAGCATCATAAAGATTTTCATCTGCAATTGTCATAGGAGAATTGAGCTTTGATCTCAATGTTCTAAAATTTTGTTCGATTTCCACTTGTGTAAAATCTGGATCCAATTCTTGAGGTATATTCAATGCCTTTAATGCTTTTAAACCAATGATAGTATTATACCAATTCTCCATATACAGCAGATGTAATAATAAGTCAGATATGTTATCACATAATATTCCTCCCATATAAGTAGTGGGTCATGACCCTTCCAAAATGGCCACATACATCCAGGGAGAGCATAAACCCTCGACATTATGAGGAAAAATTCCTGGCTACATCACTCTTCTGGGCTGGTATTTTCAGACTTTAGACCTATTTCATCATATACAGTATAACCCTTGTTTCAACGGATTATAATTAAATTCGCGTTTCAACGGATTTTAAAAATCTTTGTTACACGTTATTATTATTATTATTATTACAATTATGAAAACATAAAATCCGTTGAAACGTGATTAGTATTATAATTAGTGAGGGATCAATAATTAGCAAATTTTAAAAGATAAAATATATTAATCAAAGAATTTAGTGCATGAAAAGTTTTTTACAATTATTTTGCTTTGAAGGAATTTATCATCAATACACCACAAGTTCATTTGCCGAATAATAATAAAAATTTCTGCTATCAACTCAAGATTGAATGTGTCATATTTGCGTAAGAGCCATTTTTGTAAGTGTCGCACGTCATAAAATGGACATATACTCTACAAATCTGAAGCTTGCTTATATATCAATATATATATATATATACACTATTGAGTTCAAAATTAATAGATAAAATAAAAAATGTTTACGACTAAAGATATTTCTCTTTACAATTTTCCTTTATCAATTAATTAATTGTTGATTAATTTTAAATGTCAAAATTTATTTTCTATATATATATATATATTTATGATAAATGAAAATACATGTATTTAAAAAAGAATAAATAATAATATAACAAACAGATAATACATTTATATATAGTAACAATAAATACAAAGATATTCTATCCTTGATTTTTATTTATCAATACCATCATTACTAAATGATGAGTGGACCAGCAGTCTCACTATTGTTGTCGGAAGATCTGTCGTTATTATTATTGTTAATGAGTGGATCTGTTTCACCAACATAGAAGGGACCATAGCCAAGTCTTTTGGCACGATAATACCAACAAATACACATAACCAAAAGTATGCCTTGAAGAGATCCTGTTACCAAAAATACAATCCATGTTGTCCATCTTACGCCAGGACGAATTGCAAGTGTATACACGAAAAGAAAAGATCCTAATAAATAACAATTAGATGAGATTGATAATCATAAGCGATAATATTTTAATAATAATAATAATAATAATAATAATAATAATAATATACCCGGAGTTTGAATAAGCATCATAGGTATACTAAGAGCGCCAACGGACTAAATATTTTTTAGAGGGAAAAAAAAAGAAACCATTAAACAATTAATTATCAATTTCATTCTACCATAATAATAATAATAATAATAATAATCAAATAATCAAACTGTCAAGTTATATACCTTTCTTTTCCAAGTTCTATAAATTTGTGGAATGTATTGAACTGAAGCCAGAAACATAGAAACAATACCTAAACCATCAGCCCATAATTTAGTAAGCTGATTATCCTCTGGTTTTCCACTGTTAAGAAGCAACAAAGAAACAACAGAAGTTATGATGAGATGTACAGCAATGATTGATGAGACACCGAGGGATGCACGCCATTCATATGAATAAGTTGTTGGTGGTGAATTAAAATGTATGTGGCGAATGTATGGTGTAAGTTTTCTCTGAGGAGGAAAATATAACATGTATAAAAGAAAAATTGTAGTAAACATTGTCCATTGTATAATTAATTGAATTATTCCAAGTGTATTTGCAAAGCAATCATATCCCGACTAATTTTTAAAATTTAGAAAATAAAAGATCGTTAGCCAAATAATAATGATGATGATAATGGTAATGACAATAATGATGATAATATATACCACTTTCGGGTCATAACAGCAATCGATCATCTCGTATTGTAATAATAAAATATTGAATAAACTACATGTTGCAGATGTAGTTCCTAGTAAAAGAAACCATGGACTTAATCCTTCACTTGTTTTATGAGAAATAATTCTGTGAACCTAAAATTTAGAAATTATATCAATTCATTTAAAATTATTAAAAATAAAGAATTGTTAAAAAATTAATTACTTACTTGAGGCAAATAACTTATTAACATGCCAAGAGCTATAAAAACACTAAGTGAAACATCAATAGGTGCATTGTCAATTTTACATTCTTTATCAGCACCATCACCTTCTTTTACAAATATTTCCATTCTTTGTAATTAATTTATTTATTTTTATTTATTATAAAATTTGTTGTGAATAAGTTATATATATATATATAAAATAAATACACGGTCACACATACATCATTTGATGGGCTAAATAAATCTGATCTTTTTTGGTATTAGTATTGGGCTTTTTTTGTTTTTTTTTGTACGAAAAAATTTCAAAGAAAGAAAAAAGATGGATTATAATTGATAATTGATAATTGATAATTGATAATTGATAATATGATATTTTTATAATACAACAAATTTTTTATTTTATATTAATATCAATAATATTCCAAAAACCAGTTTTGGTGGTTCATAATAATCTCTGCCTGGTAGGCAATATAAGTAATATAAATAATATATAATAATCAATATATCTACAAATTTATATCCAAGAAAATAATTCACGAAAAATACATTGCGGTCATCCAACGAGGTTTTAGTTTTAAATCAATAACATCATCTTCAATTCCACATTGTTGTTTGAAGAATGCTTTCACATCAGATTCTTTTTCTTTAGCCAACAATTCAACTTTACTCATTAAATCCAAATCGAGAACATAGGGTTGATCGTGGTGCGAGAATCTAAAATGATATAAATAGGGAAATCTTGAAGAAGAGTTACATCCATAATAATTTCTGTATAACCCCATTGGTGGAACATAATAAATTTTTGTATTATCCGGAATGTTTGATGTTGGAGAGTTGGATTTGCTTGATTTGTTATTTGGAGAGGAATTATTGCCAGGTGGAGAATTGGAGTTATCTGAAGGAAAATTATTAGCAGGCGAATTTTTAGGGGAGTTATTTAAAGAGTTATTACTAGAATCGTTCGTAAACCTATGATATGCCAAACTATCTTCGATGGCGTATTGATATTCATAAGAATAATCCTCTGGACCATACACAGAATCATACATAACATAATCAATTGAAAGTTTTGATGAATTTTTATTATTATCATTATCGTTATCATCGTTATCGTTATCGTTATCGCTACTATTGTTGCTTGGCGGTGAAGGCGAATTACTTTTAAGTGCCTGAAGATTATTTCCTTCGTTCTCTTCGTTATCTGATAATCTTGATTTCTTTTCTATTTTTTCGTCGACTATTTCATCCAAAGATCTTTTGACATGTTTATTTACATTTTTCCCAACAATTTTATTATTTCCATCATCTTCTCGATCTATTCGTTGGTCAATTAATTGTTTAACTCTTTCTTCTCGACGTTTTAAAACCTCATGTTCCAATTCATCCAGTTGATTTACTCTGTTAATAATGTTAGATTCAACATTATTTATGATATCTTGTTTTTTAATTAATATATCTTGGATATTATCAATTGGATTCAATTCAAGTGGCGGCTCGTAAATTTCATTAGTTATATGACTCTCGCGCGAATTTTCATAAACTGACAATAATTCTACTAATGGGCAATGCAATCCGTCCGGTATTTTTATACCGATTGCTTCATTTTCATCGAATACATTAGGTGAGGAAGGAGAAGAAGAAGAAGGTGGTGGCGGTGGTGATGATGATTGAGGTTTGTTTGTTGGTATATTAATCGTTGGTGGTAGTTGTGGTGAATAATTTAATTGTGGTAAGTTGACGATTGATGGTGAGTTGGTTGGTGTATGTGGAGTAACACATCCACTAATTGATAATTCATTTGAAGATGAAGAAGAAGGATTAGAAGAAAGATGTAGAGAAGAAGAATAATTTTGATTTCGGTTTTCTTCTCGTAATTCTTGCACTAGTTGTTGTTGTCGTTGTTGTCGTTGTTGCTGTTGCTGTTGTTGTTGTTGCTGTTGTTGTTGTTGTTGATATAACGACAATTCTTCTTGATGTTGAGATAATTCAAGATGTTCTCTTGTCGATGGAGATGGCGAGTTGACTGGTGTAATTATATAATTATTATTATTTGATGTTGGTTGTTGTGGAATTAGTAATAAGGGTGGTGATGAAGGAGATTGAATATTTCTTTCAGAGGAATTATATTCTTGTAATAAATTATTGTGATAATCTTGTTGTTGTTGTGATGGCGGTGGTGAATCAATTGGTGTATGTGGAGAGACATAACAACTTGGAAATTGTTCTTCTCCTCCACTTCCTCCTTGTAATGACGATGATTTCTTATTAATGTAAATTGATGATTTTAATAGTTTTTCATATTCGATCAAGACCCTTTGTTGTTGTTGAATTGTTAACGATGATAAATCATAACCATAAAAAAATACAAGCTCCAGTATTGACATGATTTATAAATTCTGGTTGAATGAATTTAGTTGATGGATTTAAAGTTAATACCAAAGAGTCGATTTTGGTAAAAAAAAATGAATATTTTTATTAAATTTCTAAAAATATTAGTATTTATAAATAAAAATTCAAAATTTATCACACATAAAAAATCATCGATACATATAAAACATTCACAGACTCATGCACATATATTAGCATATAATAATAAACGCGCGCATATATAAAAAAGTAGATCAAAATTTTACTTTTTGTTTCTATTTTTATGACAATTAATGAAATTACGTGATTGATTAATTATTTGATTTTAATGATTTGGATGGCGGTGTCCATCCTTCAGGTTTATAATCATCGCTAGGTATCAAAGGTTTCTTGGAATCTGTATGATATAATCATTATTAGTAAGTTAATTAACATACCGTAGATATATATATAATACCTTTATTAGCTAATAGGGAAGATCTTTTATTTTTTGATTCTTCCCATTCTTTATCTAATTTCTTTGCTCTACTCAATATTAATTCTTGTCTCTTATTATTATTTATAAGCTCCTTTTGATAATATTTATTTAATAATATATATTTAATATTTAATATTTATATTGATAGATTATGTAATTATGTTATTTACCTCTATTGTAGGTGAATTAAACCTTGTATGTTTTAACCAGCTTTGCCATTGAACTAGCATTATTTATTGTTATTATTACATTAAATATTTATAATCTTATCAATAACTATAATCTTATTTACTAATTAATAAACATTACCTGGTATATCTTCTACAATATAATCACTAATAATGCCTTTTTTCTTCATATAAACAATTCGTTTAGTTCTACCGTTATCCATTATTGGTTTAATGCTTTCATAATATTCATTACCAAATAAATCACTGCCGACTAATATTTGTCTTCTCCAGGGTAATCTTAATGTCTTCCATATATTCAATATTCTTTTCAACATATTTGATTTTTTTTTTAACGAAATTAACAAAAGAATACAACTCAATCAAATCAGTGCAACATACTTTGTAACAATTTAGAAAAGATTGGCAATATTTTGGTAAGATTTAGAAAGAATTGGCAACGATACTATCTCTCTCTGGAAATTTTCGAAAGAAAAGGTAAATTTTCGTTTCACAAAATTGATTGCGTTGTATCATGATTATGATCATTGATCATGGATTTATGATTATGATCATGATCATGATCACTCTCCCAATTTTTTTTAAAACATTCAGAGGTTGTATTTATAAGTAAAAAAAAATGAAAAAGAAATCACTTGATTAAAATCAAGCCTTTTCCAAAAATGTGTTGTTAAAGAAAATTAATTAAGCTTTTTTTGAAAAAAATCCTCTCCTACTAACTAAAAATACCAGCAAGAAATTAATCCATTATTGATTTAGTATTACACAGTGAGTCTCGATTTAGCGGACCTCGATTTAGCGGATTTAGGGGTTTAACGGATAAATTTTCAAAACCATAATTATTTTATCTCGATTTAACGGATTTAACGGATTTTCATATATATTCGATTTAACGGATATTTTTTAAAAATCCATATATGTCACTTATAATAAAATTCTCTCGATATTACGGATAACAATGATCCTTGCCTTTTTTGGATAGTATAATTTTATAACGTAATAATGTATTATTAATATTAAAATATTAACAACAAACAAATTGTTAACTATTACTATTTCTTGGCGATGACACATATATATGTCTTTTTTTTTATTCTTTATAAACTAATAATTGAAAGATTGTTGTTAATGATTCATTTTAATGTCAATGACACTTATATACATGTCATTTTTTTTTATTTCTTTATAAGCTAATAATTGAAAGATTGTTCATTCTGATGTCATTATTTTTTAATCCATAAATGAGGTCATTGCTTTTAATCTTACATATGAATAAAGTCAAAGAAGCTACTTTTAATCATTTTAGAAATGCCATTGTATTACTTCAAATAGATATAAAAAGATGTTTGATTGTAGGTTGAGGACTATCAAACTTGATGTGCAATATAATAATAAATTTAAAATCATAATAAAATTGAAAATATGTCGTAACAGAACATATCAGAAGACCTAAGTCAAATATCAAAAGTAATTTTTAATTAATAAAGGTTTAAATGTTATTGATGCCTCAAAAATTAATTCTTTTCTTTAAAAATCATTTAGAAAAGAAAAATATTAACTAAAGCACAAAAAAAAGAATTATGTGAAAAAAAGAGAGATAACCCAAATATTAAAGGAATTGACCTTGCCCAAGAGTATGGAATATCTACACAATCTGTTTCTGATATATTGAGGCAATCTTCTGAATGGTTGAAATATGAAGAAGGTTCTTCAAATACTCAATTTAGGAAAAAAGCAACTAGTCACCCGAATATTGAAGAAGCAACAAGAATTTGGGTTGAGCAACTTCTTGCTAAAAATTTAACAATAAGTGGTCCTATTATTCAAGAAAAAGCAAAAGAATTTGCTAATATGTTCGGAATTAGAGATTTTAATGCATCTAGTGGATGGTTATCCAATTTTAAAAAAAGAAATGACTTACAAAGTTATAAAAAAAGAGGAGAGTCTATGAGTGTTCCTATTGATGAAATTGCAAACATGCAATTTCAACTTCAAGAAATCTTAAAAAACTATAGTCCTGAAGATATATGGAATTGTGATGAAACTGCTATATTCTGGAAGCTAGAACCAAAAAGAACAATTGCTCATACATCAGTTTTTGGTAAAAAACGACCCAAAGATCGTTTTACAGCCATGCTCACCTGTAATTCAATTGGAGAAAAACTCCCAGTTCTTTTTATCCATAAATATGAAAACCCGAGATCCCTGAGAGGCATGTCTAAAAATTCACTTCCAGTATGGTATTATTGGAATTCAAAGGCGTGGATGCAAAGAAGTATCTTCAAACATTATTTAGAAAGAGTTAACTCCATAATGTACAGAAAAGGAAAAAAAATAATTTTACTTTTAGATAATGCGAGTTCACACAACTCTGATAATATCTCCAATTTGTCAAATGTAAGAATTCATTTTTTCCCTCCCAATACAACATCTGTGCTGCAACCTCTGGATCAAGGCATTATTTATAGTTTGAAGGTAAACAAATAAAAAGTTTTATGTATTAGCATTTTTCTAACATTAATTCTCATTTTTTTTTTCCAGTCAAAATATAGAAAAATTCTTTGTCAAGATAGAATTTTAGCATACCAGACATTAGAAGATAGTAACCAAGAACCAGCTCAACTCACAATTTTTGATGGAATCAATTTCATTTCTGAAGCCTGGAAACAAGTGACAGTTGAAACTATTAAACATAGCTGGGAAAAAACAAAAATAATTAGTGATGATAATCAAAGTTCAATGATTATTGATTCAAACAATCAACCAGAACTATATGAGATAAATAATTTAATTTCTCAACTTCCCATTGAAAATCCTTTAAATGCTGACGAATTTATTATGATTGATCAAAACCTTGAATTCGAAGAAATGACAGAACAAGAAATTGTAAACATAGTGTTGGGACAACCTGAAGTTGAAGATAATGAGGGTGGTGATAAGATAAGTGAGCCAATTGTAACAAGTACAGAAGCTATAAATGGGTTGGAAAATGCCCTTAAATATATACAACAAAAAGATTTAGAAGTTGATTCTCGAATAATTAAAAATATATTGAAGTTAAAAAGAGAGATTTCTTATATAAGTGCCCAAGATGCAAAACAATGTCGAATTGATGAATTTATGAATCAACAATGATATTATTATTATTATTATTATTATTATCCATTATATTTTACAAAAATTATTATTTAAATAAAAAATTTTTTTTGTACACATATATTACATGATTTGATCATAAGTTTCGATTTAATGGATCCCTCGGTTTAACGGATAAATTTTCTGGTTAATGTTATGTAATGTAGTGATGAATTAAACAAGATTTTAATAGGTTGCAGCGAGTTTGTGTAATCATCACATTACACAAGCATCAGCATGGAATTTTTTCAGGAATTTAAAATTTAGATACATCATGATTTAATTACATTCAATTTTTTACAAAGAATTTTTTTTTTACAGTGTTGTTAGTTTTTTGTAACCCATCAATGCACACAGCCTCCAATCTTTTATACTCTTCCAAAGCCACCCTGGAAATTTTTAATTGGGAATAATCAAAATCAAGGGTTTGCAGTTTTTCCAATGAGGGAGCTTGACTCATTGCAACATACACTTGTCCTTCAGCAAACATACTTTCATCAACATTCAATGTTACATGTGGCAAGTCAATCCTTGAGTTTTATGAACAGTCAGAAGAAATTGATTCCTTGATGCTCTCTTACCATAAACTTCAAAGTAAGATGTTTCTCTTTGGACAATAACCTTGCTTATGCTGGCCAAGGTAGGAAAGGTCACCTCAACATTCTCTTCATCATAAATTTTTGTTGCTATTCCAATAGTTCCATTGCATATTTTTTCATCAAATAACTTATTATTAAGAAATATCACATGTGCACCTTCTTGTAAATACAATTTATGAGGCAAGTTTGTTAAGTTTTTGAATTGAGCAATCATGTGATCATCATTTGATATTTCAAATTCTGGTGTGTCTATGCAT